TATTTTTGCAAATCTTTTTAGTCTAGCTCGTTAGATAGCTGGATATTCCTCTCCATGCAGTCTGTTGCAATATGTGGTTTTGGTTGAAGTGTATAGAGAAAATCTAGTCTCACGCAGATAGGTAATTGAAAAAAATACTGCAATAGCCCTTTCAAATAAGTGGATATTCTTTGGTACCACCATGGAACTTGACAGGTGGTAAAGTCTTTGAAGTTGGTTACAATGTGGAATTTGAAGGCACATCGTTAACTTCTCTTACTCTTACATTTAAATCCATTGGTCTGTCTTGTACTTTGAATGGATCTCTCGCCTATACATTAATTTGTAACAGCATGCCTCGGTCATGTGGAAACTCGGTCCACTGGATTATGACAGCCCTTCTAAATTTAATGTGTAATACAGTATACAGTATTAAAAGTCACTTTTGTTACTGTCAGCACTGATCTCAGAAAAATCTTTAAGCATTGAGAAACTGTCAAACTTATAGTCATGGATACAGGTTTTTCTAGGTTATTGCTTGAAAACTTGAAATTTTACCACAGGCAAAAATGTAGCCAGTTGTTTTCCTTCCCATGTCATCTGTAATTCATTTCTGAGAAGATGTCTGCAAGATACTCAAATCTGAATAATTATATTTGATTGATAGTTCTTCAGAGTAAAACTAAAACCAAAAACCAATACTCCATTTTATAAAGCACCAAATTTAGCTTGCAATTTAAAAGATTACACGTGTGCTTTTACCAAAGATAACTATCAACCATTGACAGCGAACCTTTTAGAGCTTTTGATGATAATTAACAGCTAGCTGCAGCACTTGTACCATAGATTTGCTACCACTGCTATAAACCATCCTACTGTTGTATGTAGCAGAAGTGCTTTATGGGCAGTTTCCATTTTGTCACATGCAATATTTGAAAAAGACATTGCATTCAAGGGCAAGATTTAGTGAATTTAGCAGTTTTTACTACATTAGTAAGGGCTTTCGTAGCATATGTGCTGCCGAAGTGAGCACAGTAAGGGCTTTCTTAAAGAGTGTGTGAGGAGTGTGGGAAATGTGTGTGTGTGTGTGGTGTTTACTAGTATAATAAGTACTAGTGCACCTTGATGTCATTGCCTTGATATGTGCTAAGGAACCAGCAATTTAACCCAGCATTGCTTTTGTGTGGCCACTGTGTATGTCAACAGCATGAAAAGGGCAAATAATTTCTTTTTGTTATGAGCTGGGGCTTAGCTCAGTGGCACTGTGTCTGCCTGGCAAATGCAAGGTCCTGAGTTCAATTCCCGGTACCGGAAAAAAAAATTCTTGAAAACTACTGGATCACTTGAAAGAATCTCTAGGAATTCCAGGTCTGTGGACCACAGTTGAGAACTTCTGTCTTTAGCTAGTCCCACCACTACCACACCATACTTTGTCAACTCTTTTAACACTTGAAATCCTAGTAGTTTCTTTTCCCCATATATATTCCTTTTCGTTTTTTGTAATTCACTTACTCTTCAGTCTATACAAAATGGTATTTCTTTGTCCACCTACCCTTCGAGCTTTTTTTTCCTTTCTGCCAAGCTTGTTAAATTGTTCACTTTTACTATTTCTCCTATTCTGAACCACACTTCAGTCTTTTAAAGTTTAGCTAATCTCTCTAGCACTCTAAATGTCTTTTTCTCTTTTCTCTCTTAAAAAAATATTTCTAGTCACATCCTTAATCCAGAATTGACATCTTTACTTAGTAGCATTTGTAACAAGTGATTATTCTTTGCTTCTGGTTTTTGCTTTATAGAACCCCAGTTAATGTGTTTCCTCCCTTCTTTTTTATTTTTCTAATCTCCATCAGTGTCCATTGCTTACTCAGCCTGTGCTCACTTTTTTAAAGTTCCCAACTTCATTATCTTTATTGTGCATGATTTCAGATGATTCAAACTGCTATCTCTAGTCCCAACTCTTCCCCTAAGTGCCGGACCCATATCTCCCACTTCTAAATTGTTGCCTCACGCTTCTTGAAACTGTATTTTGCATTCTGGAAACAAACACCCGCATTATCTTCCCTTTCAAAAACTTCAACATTAATTGAATGATGACTTTACAACATACTAGGTGAAAACAGTTTTCAGTAAAATAAGCAAGATAACTTGTAAGGCGAGGTGGATAACAAATGAGTAAACTGACAGTATTATTTAGATGGTGATGAATGCTGATTGTGCTGGGAGATGATAGGATAGACAACCTAGATAGGTTTGTCAGGAACTATCTGAAAAGCGAACACCTAAAATGAGTCCTAAAGAATGAGAAAGCCTCAGGTATATGAAGAAAATAGGGGAGAGAACCTTTGACCTATAGAACTGCTAGCATTGAAAACCCAAGAAAAGACCTTGGGAGGTCCAAGGATCCAAGGTCGTTGTAGATAACAAAAGTAAAAGTTAACTGAGGATCAGTTGGATTGATAAATCGCAAAGTGTTTTTAGAGGATGAAAAGGAGTTTGGGTTTTATTCTAATTGCACTGAAAAGCCATTGAAATGTTTTAAGCAGATTGTGAAAAAAATCTGATTTCCATTTAAAAAATATTCTGGCAACTGTAGTGAGTAGATGAGAGTTAAGAGGGATGTAGGGAGCAGCTGGGTGATCTGGTTGGAAATTTTTAGTCTTGTAGGCGAGAGAGGATGGTGGCTTGAACTAAGGGGTGGACTGTAGACATGATATAGAAATGGACATGGACAAGGTATATTTTGTAGCTTTGAACCAAGATGACCTTGTCTTAGAGTGAAGCCTAGAAGAAAAATTAGAACTACCCAGAGGAAAGGTTAGCAGATCTTTCCAACGGAAGGAACATCATTCATAAAGGGCAAGAAACCTGAGAGAAAACAATATTTGAAGACCTGAAAGAAACTCAGCATGCTTGAGGAAGAATGACAGAGTGAAGAATGACAGAGAGGCACAAGGCAGATCATACAGGACTGAGTTAGGAAATTTAGACTCTGTCCACACGTGAAGGTCTAGTCTGGGCTATATTTGGGGTTGCCTGATTATAACCAGCAACAGAAAGCCAGGAGTTGATGACATCATAGGGAGAATATATAGCATGCAAATGGCATACATCTTAGTGCACAGAAACATCAGCATTTAAAAGCTCATCGACAATACTAAAAAGAAACAGAAAAGGAAAACTTGGAACAAGAGGGACCAAAATCCAAGGGACATGTGACTTTTTTAGAAGTTGTTGTCAGCATTTTAGGTGATTTTTCTGGGCAGTTAAAGTAAAGTTTCAAAAGTAGCCTGTATTGGTCATCCATGGACCTGGGGAAGAATGAATTTGGTGTAGTCGTGGATCAAAAAACAGTTTACCGTGTGTTGAAATGAGATAAAAAAGTTGAGTTACTGCACATAGATATCTTGGGGGACTTTGAGAGGACAAAATGAGAGAGTGTGGGAGTGTTTGGTGGGATCTCCCAAAGTATTTTAAGAAATGTATGTTAGATACAGGATTAAATGGTGTTTGGAAGAGAGCGGTTGAAAGAAAAGAAAAGTAGGATGGGATGAGATCTTCTGTAGGTAGTGTTGCTAGTCTCAATCTGAACACTTCAGAGTGAGCTGTAATTCCTTCTTCATCAAGCCTGATTTGACATATTTGTCAAATCTTAATTTTACCTCAGAAATATCAGTTGACAACAGTTTTTCCTCTTCCCCACTAAGTAGATTTATTAGGTTGACAGTATCTTTGTAGGGCTCTTGAAGCAACATTCTTTCCTTTCTCCTCCTTTGAAAAAGTTCAGTATGATGATATGAGTACTGGTGCAGTCATAGTTGGCCCTGTGCGGATGAACCTCAGGTCACTCCCTCCGCTCGTTTACTGTCCCCGCTATCACTACCCTACTGTCACCTTGCCCTTTAGCGACATTGAGTTTCCCTCTGATTCATCAGTTCTCCTCGGCCCTACAAACCTTTTTTGTTTACTAAAGATACTTTCTTCACCTGCATTTCCTTTCCTCACCCTTGCTTCTCGGGCAAACTCCTATGCAATGCTAGCATTGCAGTCATGTGTCCTAACTTGGGCAGACTAAGTCATGGGTTTCTATATCCACCACACCGTCTGCACACTGTCCTTCTGTTAGAGCATTAACTTACTCCTTTGTGTTAGTACTGATCTGTCTGGGCCGGTTAGCTCCTCCAGACCAGGGACTGTGACATCCATGTGCACATATCCTGGATGATTGTCATATAGCTAATGTTTGTTAAATATTTGGTGGCTGAGAGATGAGATTATAATCGTTAATGAAATTTGATTTAAAGTGATGATTTAAGAGTAAGAGCACTGAGGTGTAGGAAGGAAGTATGATTTCCCCAAGGTTATGCAGATAATAACTCTGACTTCTTACTCGGCCTTCTGGGGATCCTCTACTAGCTGCCATCAGTCAGTACTGGTTGGATGATATTTAAAGTAAGACAGAGCCAATTTAAGTACATTTATCTTCTGTGATGTCATTTAAATTTTAACTTACAGAATCTGACTCAAAGATTGAAATGAAAAAAGTTACTGTGCAGAATAAGTCCTATAATTCTGTTAGAATTCAGTAGACTATCTAATTTTCTTTATAGAAAATTGAATTACCAAAAGTCATTTTTAGGGGCAGGGAGTATAGCTCAGTGGCATAACACGTGTTTAAATGAATGAATGAATGCATGAATGAATGAAATGTCAGATGTAGTGTCCTTTTACTCAATCTACACTATCGTTCTAGGTGGTCTGTAGGTGTGGAATTTTATTTGCGTTTTTGTGAGCATGTGTACATGCACATGTTTATTGCATTTTGGGAAGGCAAAGATTGGTTGCGTAGTGTTTTCAAAAGGGTTCCTCTATCCTCCTGACAGTTAACAATCACTGTTGCTGATGACTTGTAGATATTTTGCTGTAGTGCTAAGTGATCCTTCCCAAAGCAGAGTACATAAAAATTTCTTTCAGCTGCTACTTGAACTCTATTTTTAATCTTTGCTACTTGCTTTTATTTTCAGGGTTTGTGTTTAGTGAATCAGAGGGATCTGCATTAGAACAGTTTGAAGGTGGTCCTTGCGCTGTCATTGCACCTGTTCAGGTAACTACTTTACCAACCCCTTGGAGGGACAGTTCACATGCTTCATGCTTGGCTGTTGTTATCTAATGTCTGTATTCAGCATAATCATGAGATGCAGTCAGTTAAGTTTTTTGCTTATATAAATTGCTATAAATATCTAAAATTAAAATCCATTCAAAATGTGGGTGAGTTGCATAGTAGTAGCCTTTTGAACTAACTTTCAAGGAAAAATAGTAAGTATTCCCTGACTTTTAAGAAAATTAGGAATTACTAGTCTTGTCATCTTTTCTGAAACAAAGATCCTACTGAGTAATAACATTTTCTACACTGAATAGGTACAATTATAGTAATTATACTATTGTCACTTGTCCTTTCCATAAAAAAGATTTTCCTGAAAAGAAGAACATGAATTAATATTTTTGTGGCCTAAAAGTTGAAGATGAAGGGCTGAGGATTTAGCTCATTGGTTCCGCCGCCTGCCTCACAAGCGCAAGATCCCAAGTTCGATCCCTGGTACCCCCCCAAAAAAAATTGAAGATGAGTTAATATTTTTCAAATATTTATATAGTGTTTTGGATTGTAGCTTTGAGCTTTCTAAATAGAATTAGTAGCAACTGCTTTCAAGCAGAATTTCAAAAATAAATTTTTCTTTGCACAAAAGATGAGGTTTACTTGAATGTCTACTTGATTTTGAATCTTGATGTTTTTGAATCATAGACTAATGTACCATGATGTTACATTATTACAATCCAGAATTTTCAGTTTACCATTTTGCTAACAATGTCTAAACAGCAGTATAACATTAGAACTACTATAAATGAAGCTGTAATTCATAGTTTATGTTTTAATCATATTTTGAAAATACCTAATTTATTATTCATTAAGCATAAAAATACATTTCTGGATTTTAGCTAAAAGTAAATTTGTCTCGTAAATGTGCTTATGTTATTAAATTGAAAATGTATTTCTCTAAAAGAAAAAAAATCTCCTCTTGCAATTGATTCCAAAATACATACTTTTAGGTCATTATTTCTTTTTTTTTTTTCCATTAAGTTTATTGGTACATTTTAGGTATACAATACAGTTACAGTCATCATTGAGATCTTGTACCTTTACATGATGTATCTTGGTTCTTGTTTTTTCCCCATTCCCCTGCCCTCCCTTCACCCCCTCCACCCTTCCCTATTTACAAAGACTTTTTTTCCTGTTTTTCCTTTTCTCATATTTTTTCTTTTCCCTTCTTTCCTTTCCCCTACCCCTCCCACTTCCCCTACTCTGTCAAACATTTTCTTCCTCTTTCACGATATCAGTTATACATTTTGATTCTTATTTACACTTTTGGTTTTTCACACCAGAGAAACTATTCAGTATTTACACATGTGTCCTATTTATTTCACTTAAGAGTATAGCCTCAGTGTGCATCCAGTTAGCTACAGATATCTTCAGTTTTTCATTCTTTATGGCTGAGTAGTACTCCATTTTAGAAAAAAAAAGCCCACATCTTCTTTATCCAGTCTCCAGTTGATGGGCATTTGGGCTGTTTCCAAGTTTTAGCTATTACAAACTGTGCTGCTATAAACATGGGTGTGCGCGTATCACTGTGGTATGATTCTTTTAATTCTTTGGGGAAGATACCCAGCAGGGGAATAGCTGAGTCAAATGGGACTTCTAATCCTAGTTGGGTCACTGTTTCTTTACAGAGTAAAATTGAATTTATTTGCATTAATAAAATTATTTGAAAAATTTGAATGTCTGAATTTTAGCTCAGAATTACTGAACCTAAAGAATGGAATTTAGCTATGAATTAATAATTATACCTGTTGTGCTGAGTAACTGGGCATGTTTTGGTCACCAGTAGGAACCTTATGTGAACATGGAGACTCTGTCTTGTCCATATGGAAATTAGATTTTATAAAGACCACCCCTCTCGGCCAGTGATAGGACCCAAGGGTTTTAGTGAAACTCTGTGTAGTTAACTGCAATGTTTACTGACCACAGCAGTTTAAAATTCAGTCAGTTTCAGAGATGATAGTTTTGTAAGTGGGGGAGAAGGGCTAATTGTTAAATCCTGAAGCTGTCCTTATGGACCTCTGAGGCAGTGAGATAGCTTAAGAGGCAGGTAAATCCTTTCAGTTGATAAAAGAATTTTGTTTACATTAGTATTTTAATTTAAATGTCAAAACTAAATGATTAAGAGTCATGAGAAATATATGAGTATGGATATTAACTTTTTAAAACTATAAACTTTACAGCATGATGCTACGAGAGTGGCGTCAAATAGGTAATTCACTCGTGGCCCTTACTCTGTACAGCATTGCATGCAGAGTTTATAGCATTCCATTGTAAAGAGAGAAGTGAGGTCAGTGGTGGCATAACATGAAGTTCCAGAAATGCCATCAATATGACTAGTTGACAATTTGAGGAAAAAATGAGTTTAGGTCATCTCATACCAAGTACCAGACATGTGCTTGGACTATTCAACCATGCAAAACAAAACAAAACAAATTAATGGATTGTCAACACTGTAAGAAAAGATTCCTTTAAGCTGAAAAACAGTTGCAGTTAGCCAAGTGTGGTGGTACATTCCTATAATTCCAGCACTCTGGGAGGCGGAGGCAGGAGGATTGCAAGTTCAGCCTGGGAAATTTAGTGACTTAGTAAAACCCTTATCTCAAAAAAGGAGTGGAGATGTAGCTCAGTGCAAACTCCCTGGGTTAAATCCCCAATACCATCAAAAAAAATTTTTTTTTAGTGACTATTAGCAATAAGAGGATATTGTCTTATGCAAGGAATTTGTACAAATTGGTACAAGACCCCTGCTGGTGACATGGGCATGCAGTTAGGATTAGTAGAATGATGTTAGAAAATGAAAGAATCAAGACAGTAACTCCCACTAAGACTCCAAGAAAGGAAAAATAAAACTGTAAAACTAACTAGAGTCTCTTTCTTATTTTTAAAAATATTTAAACATAAAATTATAATTACCAGTGATGTGTGGATGGGATGATGCTGGCACACTCATATACTACTATCTAGTAAATTTGTACTTTGATTTTGGGAAAGAATTTCACATTATAATAGAACTGTAATATGCTACTGTGTATTGTACTAATATACAATAATATAATGTAAACATGAAAAAATAAGTAAATTTCAATAGCTTGGTAGACAAATTGTGGTTAAGAATTATATTTATGAATTTCTTAGGAAAACCAAATGGAA